CACAGAAAAACCCTCTCGATCCTAGTGGTTGAGTTAACATCTGTGTGCATCCTACCCCTCCCAGACCCTACTTTCGAGTGGGATATACTGGGTTTATAATGGGCTGGAGTGCTGGTAATTGAGGGAGGAGTATGTTGCCTATTTGCTCGAATAAGCTTCTTAGAGAATGACAGAGGATATGCATTGTGCTACCCAGCCAAAGGCATATTGCTAGTTGTGCCGCTTGCATTTATTTATCTTTGTATGCTTACATGAGAAAGTGAGTATCTTTCTCAATTCAAGCAAACCTTATGTTATCCTTCTGGTATACTTACTACTTCATGTAGGGATAGATAAGCACAAAGAAGCAATTAACCTAGCACGGGCTCACTCTTACACATTTTGGGTGGGTCATGAACTTTCTATGCATTTATCTTTGTCTGCTGAAATAATTTTAGATGGCTGCTGTTACATCAAATATATATATACAGGGCTCACCTGTTGCTCATAGTGGGGTCTTGTGCTGTTATGTCTCTGTCCTTGCTAATATTTTTAGATTGCTGTCATAGTGAACGGTAAGCAAATAGTGTAGCGGCAGCTGTACGAATAAGGGTTTTGTTTGTGGGGCTAAATTTTGTAGAGTGAGCTTCCATAGAAGGGGATAACAAAACCTGCAATAGTCTATAAGGAAGAGAAGAGAGAATACATATAGAGCAACCCAGACAAAACCAAACATACGCGGTATATCTCATCAGGAGGCAGGGCTTGGGGAGGGTATGATGTACGCAGAGGATACCTCTGCCTCTACAGATAAAGAGCTGTTTTTTGTGAAGACCCTGCTTGTGAAAGAATTTCTTTTTAGGAGGTGATAAAAAATAGTTAGCCGAACAAACAGAAAGCAAGGAGAAGTTATAAATGCTGGTGAGGAAGCGACATTTGAAAAAGGCATAAAATAAAAGAGTGCACAAAAAGGCCACGTACAGAGGGTACAAGGCACAAGAATCGCACATAAGAGAGAGCTCTATATTTTAATTCAATATTGTTGAATAATTCACAAGAGGAACTGAAGGTGCTGAAATCCACAATTGGATATTATGTCTTAAGGCCCAAATGCATGAACTGATTCCTAGGCTGTTGATTGGGCGTTCTTACGGTCTAAAATATGAATTATCATCCAAACGTCATAAGACTAATTTCACTGTAAAATGTACTAGACAAAGTTGAGAAGTAAAGTGAAGAATGGTAGGGGTATTAGTGAGGCCTTATACATCCCATGCAGTAGAGGAAAATGCTTCGACATTGCAAGTAGCTGTTTTGATGGAAATTGAAACAAATGCATGAAAGCTTATGTGAGAAAAACCTTTGAAAATGCAAGATGTAACATCAGAGGCGTATCCTGAGAGCATCTCTGACAGATCCTCCAAAATGGAGAATTGAACTTCAAAATCTCTGAAAACAAAAATACATTCAACTCCAACAAATTCTCCATTTTGGATATTATAACATTTATTATATTATTAAAATATTCCTTTCATCTAATAAAATATTATTTCTCGCTTTAGATATTTATTTTCAGAGTTTCCTATTGGTGGAAATATATTAAATAATATTTCTCTCATTGTAATCATTTTTGGGGTGTTCTCCAAATTTGGAGATTTTTACACTCTCTCTCCTACTTTCTCCATTTGGGAGCAAAAAACATGCCAAAATTCCCAAAATCTCTATTTTCTCCATTTTGGGGAATCCGGTTGGAGATGCTCTGAATGTGGCACAGCTTAACCGCATGCTATTTATTTAATGTATAATATAACAATGATGATGCAATATGGATTCTGGAAGATGAAAGGATATGGGGAATATATAAGGTAATAGGTCACGTGAACTCTTACCCAACTCATCATAAAGTAAATCTGCACAATATATAAGAATTAGGTGTGCCTAGGATTCTGCTTCTATCAAATGATCTTTTCTAGTGCATATAAAGATTGGAATAACCACGTGCCAGATGTGTCTGAAAGTAATAGGATTCCCCTTAAGGGGTGAAAAGAAAATCCAACATTTGTACTTCAAAGGGATGCCAGTAATAGTCATGCCACAGCTGACTGCGTAGCCTTCTGCCCACGCAATACAGGACAAGATTGAATTCTCCAATTTCCTTGAGTGTCATCAGCATGCTCATTGACCTTGAGATTTTTATGTTCCGTTTATAATCTAATTTGATTTTCTTAAATTTTGGAACTCATAGTTAAAGGGTTGACCATCTCTCTCTTTATGTAGAATGGTCACATGTGGGACCCTGTATTATTTTTCATTTTCTTAACATAATACATGAGTCTCCTCTTCAAAGTTTGATTTATTGCTCTATCGAATGTTCGGATTGAAATCTTGGGAGCCCATGGTGTTTGGCTAGTGATATTTGCAGTTCATACTGTGTCATGTATCAGAAACTCAACAATCTAAGAGGTGTCACATTGGTCAGTAAGAAATAACACTAAACAGCCGAGGAATAATTAGAACGGAAATGAAGTTCACCAGTTCATGAGAATCCAATCATTATAGATATAGAATGTGGTTGACAAATTAATCAGTCCTCGAACTGGTCATTTCTAATGAGAAACTCATTATGCCGCATGGTGTGCTATCGTAACATGTTCATGTTAAACCTATAGAGAAGCAAATTAAGAGGATTGAGGTTATGGAGAGCATGTTAGCTGTGCGAGTTCTGAACTGCAAATAATTCACTTGGATAAGAACAGATCCCAGTACAACTTACCTTCATAACCAGATTAATATCGAACCAATGCGTAAGTAGCAAGTAGGTATTTTATACTTTTGTTGATCTGCTTGAGAGTATGGTAATTGGTCATTGAAACTAAGATTGATGCTTAGCAAATTTGCTTCCCTTTCTAAGCTAAGAATAATTGTGCGACTTGAAATCTGTGTGAGAAAGAACTGCAAATTTCATAAAAAGTTTTAATGATTAGGCTAATACTCCCTCCGTGTCCACAATAAAAAACACAGTTTCAGAAATGTGTAATTATTACACTCTTTAATTAACTGAATGATAGTTTTACTCTTGATTATAGAGGCAAACCTTCTCTCTTTCTCTCTCTCTTGCTTTATGTATGTATATATATATCATTAACTCTTAAATATTCGTACGTAGAGTTGGAAATTTAGTAAACCATAACTGCTTGCTTGCTTACTAAGCCATTCTGGCAAAGCTCCTCCAGTTCGATTATGATTCTTGACTGTAACTATCAATTTTTTAAAGGTGCATTTTTGAAACACACTTAAATAGAAATGTGGACACATTTTGGGATGGAAGGAGTATCATGATAATATGACTTCACCTCTTCATGGCATCTATTCACCTTTTGTCAAACAAAAGCAACCTATCTCATTTTAGAGCTCTAGTTTCCAGACTCTCGGGTAAGTGGAATTTTGAAGAGTCGTTTTGTGAAAGCAGATACTGCTTAGTCAGCTATAAAAGCATTTAAGTCTTAGGGACACCATAACCATAGAAAAATGATAAATTTTTTGTAGATTCTCTTTAGTTGTAACAAATAAACGTTCTTTCTAGAAATGGAAGGCAACTTGAGATTGACTCAACCATCATCATAGTTGACTAAATGCAAACTCTGAAGATTTTTTCTACTTGCTTATGTCCCATGGAAATCACGACACTTCATTTAATGGATGGCCATCAAAATTGTATCATTCCTTTTTAGAAAAGAATCTAAGCTAAAGTTACCTGTTATCATATTAACGTTATTGATTAGGGTCTGCAAGATTGTATCATTTTATTGTTGAAAAGCATTTTATACGTTTGATAAATGATAAAACATTTTACTTTAACTATATGGCAAATTAAAAGTTGCAATTCTCATTTAAGTAGCCGAGGAAGGGTTGATGAGGCCAGCAAGTTATTAACATCATAATCTAGGGGTGGTTGTTTTTTTTCTCTATTAAACCGTACATGGATCAAGTCATCTAATGGATTAAGTTGTCTGTAAGAATAAAAAAAGTTTTTGTTTGTTTTTGTGTGCTGAATAAATTGGCTGATGGCTTAATAACCATATATGACTGAGTGTCCATATCATTCAGCCCGTTAAGGCCTAAACAAACAACCCCTAATTTGAAACATTTATGATGTCGTGATGAATTTAGGGTCTAGGATGGTATGCACGACGTCTGAAGATAGATGAAGATGGAGATGTTGCAGATGAGTTTCTTGACGAGATTTTCCCAGCTTCTAATACAGAAGTACATCACAACCAATTTCCCAGATTCGAAGTGAAGCTCAACACTAAATCTGCAAAAGCCAGAAACCCACGTTTGTCACGTGAAGGAACGGTCCAACAGTATGTGGAATTTGGAGGTAGGTTGCAGCTGGTCTGAAATGCAGCCTGCTTTTTGTGTAAGGTGATTTCTAGGGTTATTTTAGGCATAGAATTGTATATGAGTGGGACTTGAATGAACCATGAAAGAAGAATTAATTCTCCATTGGGTTCAATGGTGGTGTGGTGTGTTGTGTTGTGTTGTGGTTTTCATCTTGCAGAATGTGATTGGTTTAGAGCTCATGGTTTATATCACAAACATCTCATTTACTTGCTGCTGCTTCCAGATGATTGTTTGTTTACATGTTTACCCATGAAACAGATTGGTTTTGAGGTACATTTGGTTGATAATTACCTTGTTGCGCTTTTATGTTCATGGCTTCATTGATTTTGGCAAGATGGTTGGGGTAGAGGTGCACCTATAGGCCTTGGTCCGATTCAGCCTATCGCCCCCAAATCCGTCTTGAAGCTTTTGTTTGCAGACTAGATTGGATGTGACGCAATTAGTGACATTTTTAAATTCTTTATTATTTGTTATCATTTAAAATATTACAATGACTGGTTATGTAATTAAAATTAGAGATGCACAAGAAACATGTATTTTCATGCCATTTTTTAGCAAGCAAAGAAAATCCGGACCTTTTCTAGTTTGGGCCGGCCTTTGGAGTTGAATGAGGGACCGATCGAGCCTTTTTAAGCCGGACATTCGAACTTTTTCATGTTTAACTGGGCTTTAACCCGACCTTGAAAAAGAAGTTGGCTTGATCGGGCTTTAGGGTCGGGCCTAGGGTTAGGCTCGAGTTTTTTTTGTGCATCTCTAATCTCAAATGTTAAAAAAAAATAGAGGTGTTAGAATTGGTCATACCATTACCATCAGATCAAACAATCTTAGTTTTTGACGCTCGAGATCCGACCTTCCTAGCGTCAGCGTGCATCAAATTCCACCAATGCATTAGACCAGGATTTGTGCATACCTATGACTTTATTTAAAAGTTATCTGATTTTGATTATTAAATATCATATAATCATATCCTTTAATTTGGTTTCGAGCAAAGACTGATTAAAAGAATACCCGATCGAGACCCAAACCAAACCATTAAATCCAAACTCGATAGGGGCCATTTACTCAATTGCTTACCCGATAAGCGCTTACCGATAAGAGTCAACACTATGATTTATTTTTTGATGAGCAAGATTTTAGTACATCAAAACATATCGAATGCAACAATTTACTGAGTAAGCACTTACTTGAGTAAAAGTCGTCATCCTCACTTACTGGCTAAGATTCTCCATCATTCTCATCGCTATTACCCGATAAGATTCTTGGCCCTTCTCATGTTCATTCGAGAAGGAAATTTATCCATTAAGCGGTTATCAAGTAAGTGTTTAGTAAACGACAACTGAATGAGCAAACTATCAGTTATTAACTTTTAACTGAAGAAACATGATTATTAAATTTTGAAAGGAAAAAGATAATTAGAAAAAATTAAGTGTAATTCAAAAGAAACGCCATCCGTGGGACTCGAACCCACGACCACGTGGTTAAAAGCCACGCGCTCTACCAACTGAGCTAGAACGGCTTACGTTTGTTCAACCCATCTTCTCATATTAGTTTAATAGATAGTGCCCACACTTACCACTCCAAATAAATTTCCTTATAAGATAAAGATGACAATGGGCAAAAATCTTACCGGGTAAGAGCGATGAGAAAGATAGAAAGTCTTACTCAGTAAGTGAAGATTATGACTGTTACCCAGATAAGCGCTTACCCGGTAAATTATTGCATTAAATACACTTTGATGTACTAAAATTCTGCTCATTAAAATAAATTATAGTGTTGACTTCTATAAATAAACACTTACCGGGTAAACATTGGTAATCATCCCCTAAACCCTATAAATGGGACGGCCTTGCCCATGGGCTAAGGGCCTAAAACTATTTTTTATAGTTTTATGAAAATAAAACTGATATAAAATCACAAGTTATGTAAAATAACTCAAAACATATTATAACTTTTCAAACTTTAAGTTAGACATTAATACATAATAACGTACATAATTTAGAAAAAAAATTGTTTGTAAAAACATGGAGTAACAATAAAGGAAATGACCAAATCAGATAATAAAGAATTAATCAATTGAGGTAATTATGTTTTTACTTTTTAGATTTTTAAAGAGTATTATTATCATGAGTCATAATTAAGTGAGAATTGATAAGTATCAATAATTTTTAATTTTATTTGTAAATTTTAATTATAAAAGTTAATTACTATAAATATATTAACAGATCCGGGCGACCTGTCCAAAATTGTTTTTTCATCACCCATGTCCACCCATATTAATTATAACAAGTTAGTCAAGACCCGTTCATTTCTTCAAAATAGTAATTCAAACCCGCTTTTCTAGCAGGTTGGACATAGTGGATCTAACAGACGAGCCTAAACTCAAGATTTTCAAGATGGGCAGCTCAGTAACAAGTGTCCACGGGCTCGGCCCAGATAAAACTATTAGAGCATCTCTAAAAAAATTTTAAAATTTCTTTAAGATAATTAATTAAAAGCTAAAATCGATAAAAAGAAATTACATTTTTTTTATTAACCTGGATATCCAATTCGCTATGCAAGCCGACTAATCCCAGGGCGACCACCTGCTTTGCAGATAGCGTGAAGTCATCGCATTTGAACCTCCGTGGCCACAAAGGGATTTTATTCTTCCTTGGATTTAAACCTGGTACCTTCTAGTAATTTTGACTTTTAAAACCAAGCTCAAACCAATCAAACACCATCCTTTTTAACTCCACTAAATTTTCTATTTTAGAGACTTTTATATTTATTATATTATTAAAATATTTCAATAATTTTTATAATCCCAATAAATTTCATATAAAATGAAAATATATTTAACTTTGATCAGTAGAAACAATAGAAAACAATGTCGCTTTATTTAGTATTAAATTTCAGAAAATTCTTTAATTTGGAATTTTTTTTTTTAAAAAAATCTCTCTATTTTAAAGAAGAAGTTGAAAATGCCGTTACTACTTTCTACATAACGGAACGGAAGTCGGATTATAAACGGAAGTCAGATTATAATCTTCGACATAATTTACAATGTACAGGAGTTTATACTAGCGGCCCGGGGCAGCAACATAAAATGAAAAATGAGGGAAAGAATACATCTCCCGTTGTTTTTAAAGGACGACACGGTACGCAAGACTCGGCTCGAGTCTGGTTAACGGTTTTTCATAACCAACAATCAATGACGGTTTTCCGTTCAGGAAGTTGGTGTTTCATTTGATGTGATTTCTGTTCCCTTTATTCGTCGTCGTCATCGTCGTCATCATCAGATTCCCCATAAACAACACCAATATAGTGTCCTAAAGTCTCGACAGTGAGGCCAGGAAAACGATGAGAGGTACTAACCGGCCCGGGATCAATCTGCACAAACGGCCATTGCATGTTTTCGGCCGCTTCACATTCTTCCCATCCGTCTCCAATTGCACAGAACTGCACGTTTGGCCCGTTGAATCGTTCTTTGATCAATGAAAAACATTGGTACTTCCCTACTTCCCATGAGCTGTAAACTGTGCATAATTATCAGTTTTTCATCTTTGAATCATCTTGTAACATGCAATCAAACCAAATTAACCCAGTATGTTTCATCCGGAGGTGGGGTCTACCGCGAAGGGAGGGGGAAAGATGTAAGCAAACATGACCGCTGCTCCAAGAAGTGGAGCGTCCCATGTCCCACCCCCTCCCAGTCCCCAAAGCTGGCCCAGACACCCACGAGTACCAAAAGATATGACGTGCATTTAGAAAAAGTTAACTTTGGAAGTACGAGTGACTGACTAACCATTTTCGTAAGAAATCAAATCATCGAGCCGAAACAACAAGCATTTGACAAGGCTGGGGATTAATGAGCCTGAAGTTACGATAACGTTTACGTTCTGTGTTCTTGAACTTGTGGAATCCACCAAGGGAGTGACATCTTTGGTTCCGCTTGCACATTCCGCCACACAGGTCCGAGCTGCAATCGATGAGAAATGCACAGATCACTACTAGGGGTATAAGACTGAACTTTTGAACAGAAAATTGGGACCAAATAGGTCAGCTTGGACCGGTTTTGGCAAAACATAGTTCAATACCACAATTCCTAGTTTCAAATGTTGAGCCTAACATATCAAACCTAAATATTCGCATTAAACTGAGTTTAAGTTGATAAATCTTGTATTAGAACAATTTATTTACATAAAAAACCAAAACAAACCAAACAAACCCGGTATATCCTGCTCGAAAGCAAGGTCCAGGAGGGATGAGACGTAGGCGATCCTGACCTCTATCCCCCAAAAGGTAGAGCGGCTGTTTCCGTGCAAAAGTGAGAGCAAAAAGGGAAAGACAAGGTTAAGGAGGACAATCAAGACTAGCACATATTAAGCCGCTGAAAAAGGAGAAAACGGAAAAAAGCACAAAAAAAGATATACACTTACAGACACAGACTAGGTAAGTGCTAACCAGGTAAGAGTATTGCCCATCAATATATCCAATATAAACGTCTCTCACCCGGTAAGTGCTAACTGAGTAATAGTCACCACCCTCACTTACCGGGTGCAAAATGGCATAACAACATTGTTGGTAAAGACCATCATCTCTTACCGGTTAAGAGGCAATAAGTGTTCAGTCAATTGGTAACACACAAGTGTTCAGTAAACAACTAAAAGAACACACTTTCATAATTTCAATTATCATAAAAATAAATCCAGTTACTTACAATATAGAAAAATAATCCAAGCTTAGCCATAAATATAATGCTAATATAAGGGTTTTAATTCTGAACACCTTTTTCTTGTATTAGAATAATTTACTTATATAAAATAGCTAAATTTTATTCATAATAAAAAGCGATATAAACCATGGACCACAAGAGAAATGATTGGTTTGGTTCAAAGGCTTTCACAGGGTTTGGTTACTGAATACAGAACAAAGTAAGGGAATTTTGTTATGCGGTTCCATCCAAAACAATCGACCTGAACCATTTCACAAACCTTCGAACATAAAAGCATATACTACTAAAGTGCATCACCATTCAAATGGTTACTTCATGCAAATCCTTAAAATATGAAGGAAAAAACTAGAACCTTATAAGATACACCAATATTCCTGTATCGAAAGGGACCCACAATAATACGATACGACAAGTAGTTTATAGCTAGCTGACAGGTAAGTAGCTTACACAAGTAGCTTATGCTACCAAACAGGTAAGTAGCAAGTTTTCGGTTCAGCAAACCACGAGTTTCATGTGATTTATACTATTGAGATACATGCCAATGTGTGTTTTCAGATGATATGAACGTATGATGATACAAGGGTGATAAAAACAAGGCCAGGTTCGACTCCTACCATCTACATATACGCTTGTGGCCAGTAGGAGATCTACCTCAGGGTTGCGGGTGAAATCGCGACTTGACATGGATAACCCATTTCCAGAAAAATATATATGATGATATCCATGCGACTTGTTTACATTTTTAAAACTACTTAGCATGTCAAATGCATTTTAATGATGATATGTAAAAGATGTTATTGACGAAAATGGTTTTAGTATGTGTGGGTCATATACAAGAATGCTGTTAATTACAACGTGCTATGAGAATCAGTATACATATCATGTCATGGGAGATGTGGTGACCTACACCATACTTAATACTATATGAAACTTGTAAGTTGTGTACTTGTATGCGCATAGATGTAATATAAAGAGGTTATATGCATAGCTATGTGAAGTAAAGTGTTTTCAGATGATATGTTGCATGCAAGTTGTTACAATCTTGGATGCCATTTTTGTATTATATGCTTATGAGATGTTTCACGTGAAAACTATCAACTCACTAACTAGACTCGTCGCATGCATCTCATGACTCAGGAAAAGAGAAGACGGACTAAACTATATCATGTTATCTTACAGTTTAAGAATGCTTGTAGACCATCACCGTCCTTACAAAAGTTGGCGAGATCTACAACACCATATTCGGCATATGGCTTTTGATCATTTTACTCGTTTGCATGTTGCGTCACATGATACGATTCAAAATATCGGTATATCAAGCATGGCCCTAATGCATCAACTATCTTACATTGTATGGTACACAAAATCGCATAATCAATATCATCAATTATGAATCTAAGGTTCTATTTGTGTATACCATTTTCATCCATCATCCGTTTTGTGGGACCAATCTCCGAGAAACAATACTTACTATAGATGATTGCTACTCACATCCAAAATATATGTTGCATGCCTCACCATTTATTAAATAAACGTGACCCAGAATAAAAAAAAACACAATTGCCTCAAGTCACTCGATTGTGCATATGCTATAACTAACAGAACTATCCACGTACATGAAATGATGAGATGAATTACAAGTTATTACGCATTTAACTCAAGGAAACTTACCAGAAGACAACCATTTGTCTGTGAAATCATCAGTCACCTCATAAAGATTGTCCCAAGATTTTATCATCTTTTCACCAAAAACACTACGTAAGCCCTGCATAATTATGATGATACCATGCGACGTTAAACGGTTCCTTAGATGAAAATAGAGTTACAAGTTATGCAAGAAAAATCAACTAATAGCATGAAAAACAAGTTAAAATTTAGAAATTTTGGTAAATTTATTTTTTGTAGAGAGGAACTCCCAGTAACCCTACTTTAGAAAAGGCCAAAAAGAACACGAGCAAAATGGCAAGCAAATCGACTCAAGACTTTGTAACTTCTGTATGCATCAATATCTGAAATGGACTTATTTCAACTTCGAAACAGACATGATCTTTTCTAAATTTTCTATAATATACATTACTAATTTACCATGTACAAGAATTTATACCGATTTTGGAGTTTCAAACCCCATTTCAAAGCGGAACCATTTTAAGAATCAATTTCGAAAAGTGACCAACTTTAGAAACAAAAAAATCCTCCCAAAACCCGAAAACCAGCACAAGTGTGAATCATTTGGCATCAAATTACATCCTCAAATTATGATTTCCATATGAGCACATCAATAATCAATTCATTGCAACTGAGGCTTGATATATCATCATAAATGATCACAATGCACAAAATTGTAAAATAAAAAGTTAACTTGTGGATCATCCATTCCACCATTTAGACTTTCCAAAGCCAGTTTCTTGACATTCTAAATCAAAGTTCTATAGGGGTTTATTTAAATTTTGCAATTCACAAACAGGATAATTAGTAATATATTTCATTTACCTTATGATAAGCATAGATATAAATACCAAGATTTCACAAAACATGAATTGACTCCAAAAGTCAAAATACATCTATATTTGCAGATGGGGCAATCAAATTATACTTCAAACATCATATATATAATCAATCATCTGAGTGTTAAAAGAACCTTTTTATACTTGTGAGCAATGAGACGGTGTCTGTAGGCCAATTTCCTCTTATTATCATCATCATCAAAAGAGGCACCAACAAAACCATCATTAGCAAAATCATAATCAGTGAGATCTAACCCATCATCATACTCCCTCATTGCATCAACATAAGGCTTGTTGCAGCTCTCAATCTGCCCAAATCAAAGTAAAAAAAAATAAAGAAATCAAAGTAAACCTCTGTTTGATTAACAAAAATTAAGATTCCCGAAAAGAATTCATGGAGCTTTTGACTTAAGAAGAAACCCCAGGACGATCGAACTTAAACGATGGGGATATTTCTTGCAAATCTCTCTTTACAAAATTCAAATTGTCAGATGACGATTAATGGAGTTTTGACTTACTTGTTCATAGAAGAAGTGATCATCGCAAATTCGAAGGATTTGATTCTCCCAAGTTTTGCCAATTTCTATACCCTTTTGAACGTCTTTTGAGCCATTGAAAGCCTTTGCATATGTGCCCGTGATTAGGGATTTCAGTAAGACGAGAGTCTCGTCCATATCCCACACAAAAACATTGATCTTCTGATCCATAAATGCAAAATATTTTTAGGTTCTGAAATCAGTAGAAGAAAAGTGATGAAGGCATCGTGGGGTGGGGAGCTTTTTTATATCATAATCGAAGTAACTTTTGTGCTTTGCAACGAGATATTAATATACCAGAATAACTTACAATTTTAGTCCCTGTAATATTTCTTAATTTGCAATTTCAATCCATTGTTTATTTTCCTTAAGTTCAGCATCTGATAATACATGACTTCATTATTAATTAATAGAAGAGTATTCGCACAATATAGCGAGACACATCTTAATTTTAATGTTTTATTTTATTCTTTGTTTCTGTCGATGTTATAATACGATTTTATGCGTTTTTAAGAAAACAATAATAATTCTATTTTTGAATAAAATATAAATTTGAATATATCACAAAAATTTGAAAATATATTTATCGATATTATTATCAAATTTACTATTTAAAGTTATGGTTTTTTGTTTAATTTCTTTAAAATTCAATATTTTATTTATAA